AAGTTCCCAGAAAAGCTGGATTATCTGTCTCCGGGCTCCAACTGAAGATGCAGAGAAGCCCAGTTCCTCCCTGATTCATGCTGCTACAGCTCCTTGCAAGCTACATCTGTCATAGTATGTTTACACTGAGTTACAACAATCAGCTTCCATTTCCCTCCTCTATTGGACTGTGAGCTATAGAGGCAAATACAGTGCCCACACGCAAAGGAACGGTATGTCTGCAGAGCCATGTCACTCCTCTCTTCTGGCTGAATAATAAAGCAACTGCCACGCAGAGGAAGGGACCGTTCACTTTTGAAGGCCCAGAGATGCCCAATGTGGAAATAGCAGAAAAAAGAGCAAACTCTTGCAGGTGCCATGGGTAACCGCCGCCTCCGTCCTGTCACGCCACACCTGCAGCTCCTCTGTCCTCCCTTTGAGGGTCAGAGCCACACACCTTCCTCATGCCACTCCACAGAAGGAATGTGACCCCATGAGACTCTTCTTTGCCTGCTGAATTGCTACCCTCATTAATGTCCTCCAGACAATGAGGGTGGTCATATTACAGCTGTCAGTATCAGTCCCCAGGACAGTGAAATTAAAGAGGATTTTCTTAGGGCTAGAAACCCACCTCCATGCTGCTGCTTACTGGTCTCGATCTATAAAAAAGAAAAGGGAGAAAGAAGAAGAAAATCAGTAAGTTCTACCTTTAAATAAGGCAAGCAGAAGAGCCCTCTGTCCCTGCCCATGAATGCCTTGTTAAGAACAACCCGGTAGGGCCTAACCTTGCCTGCTAGCCTCAGATCTTCCCCCAGCCAGAGAGTTCCAGAGGAGTCCAGGATTGGACAGTGCTACCCTAACAAAGGCCTGTGCCTCCCTGAGACTCTCCTTGGTGCTAAGTATCCCTGAGGCTGTCAGGAAAGCCCAAGGAAGCCACAAGGGAAGAACAGTTCGGAGGGTGTGTGCATTTGTGCAAGTGCTGCTTCTGCTCCCTGCTCTTGCTGCAGGGAAAGCACTGTCTCAAGGACCATGCTGTGCAGAGGTCTCTCAGAAGGTGCCACCAATCAGAGCTTTACTAACATTCCCTGATCCTCCTAGGATGCAGATATTTTTATATCAAAGCAGCTTTATGCTGTGGCTCTAATTCAGATACAACTGTCAGCAGTCAAGAAAAGCACTTGAACACTTACCCCACTTAACTATCTTGGGTTCCTGGAGAGTCACATGATTCACGCGGCAGCTGTACTCATCTCTTGCGTTGGGCGTGAAGTTAGTGTGCACCAGGAGATAGAAAGACCAGTCCTTGCTGAAAGACAGGTCAGACTGCTCCGCTTTCATCTTCTGCCCGTTCTTCAGCAAATCAATTTCAATCTGTGGTGGGTGGAACCCGGACACATAGCAGTTCAAGAAATTTGGCTTCTCATTCTCCGCCGGGTGACGGGAGTAAACCTGAATCTTGGGAGTACCTGAGGAGTGTCAGGGAAAGAGAGATGAAACTGCAGAGTACTTCACTTGGGGCTGCCTTGCTCTAAAGCCAGATCAGGCACCAAGCATTTAAAGCTGATCATCTATTTCTCCCAGTTCCATTTCAAATTGGGCCCAGTGAGCTTCCACTTTTCCAAAAGGCAGCCTCGATTTTGAGGGATAAACCATGACTTAGTATCTTGCCCACATAATTTCCCTACACATGCCTTTGGGCTTTTCCTGGCAGATGTCTAGTGGGATCTTTTTCTGTCACTGGACATTGTGCTGAATCTTCAAGAAGCTTTCTCCGGAGGCTCTCAAGAACTTTTCATGGCTTCTCAGCCCCCACAGAATTCTTTATCACACATGAGTTTACATGATTTGGCTCCACTCTACTTATCAGGCTGCATTTCTCACTTCACACAGCTTCCATAATAACCATATCAAACAACTCACATTATTGTACCCCGTTCCAGCCCCATCCATTTTTTTTTATGTTTACGCCTTTCTATTTTTGGCTCCTGCCTAGATCCACACCCATCAGACTTCTCAATATGTATTAAGTACCTCGTGCAGTGCCTGGCACACAGCATTTCTCTGCAAGTGTACGGTACTATTATTATTACCTCCTTGTTCAGAGACCTGAGAGTCAATTCAAAGTACGTTCCTACAAAACACAGCCTCTTTATCCTGTCCCAAGTTTATACACCAAACCCCTATCCGATTGTGTACCTCATTTCATGAGCTCAAAAACAAAGACACAAAACTGAAAAGTCTACAGAAGATGGCAAATACCTTAAATGAAGTAGTTGGGCTGGGTAAGATAAGAGGGAAGAGTGAGGACTGTGGCAAATGGGAGACAACTTACTCTGCATTAGGACCAAGGGGAGTAGTGCATGTGAGAATGGGATTCCTATTTCTAATTAGCGCTCTCACATGATTGCCATAGTCTGCCAGGTTGGGAGTACACATAATGCTACAGAACAGTGGCTTCCAAAGTGGGATGCATGACTAGACCATCCTCAGGGATGTGGAAAGAAAATGTTATAAGCTGTATTTCTTTATTTTTCTTCCAAAGTGAAGATAAGTGTTACTGCTACTAAATATACATACTGAGTTGTGTATAATCCACCTTTAAATAGAAACACCTTCAAGGTACATGGTTATAAAGGGCAGCTCCTCCTCCATGTCTAGGAGGTGGTGGGGTTAGGAGGAGTACCAGGCCACTCTGACCATACATATCTGTCTAGAAACATCCTATCATCAGAGGTAAGTCACCAGTCCCACCAAGAACTGGACTGAGAATCCCAATGAACCCTACTTTTTAAAAATAAGTTTAAAGTGAAGATATATAGAAAGCTCTTTGCATTTTCACTTCTGATAATTCAAACATAAATGCCCCAGGAGTTAAAGCACAGGTCCATTCAGCCTGAAATTCTCTTTGAGGGAGCCAGGTGAGTTTTTGCAAGAATATCACAGTAATCTCTTCCAAGAGCAAAAGGAGCATTAGATATGCCTGGGTTTGAATCTGGCCGCAGCCAGGTACTGGTTCTGTGACTAAGGGAGTTATTTGAGTTTCTGTAACTTAACTGAAAAATTAATTTATGCCTGCCCAGAGTGAAATAAAACTCACACAGGGAAAAGAGGAGAAAACAGACCCTCAAAGGCAATCCGCAATTCTTGTATGTCTCCCAGACATGGCCTTGTGTATCTTCCTATCTTCTAGGCGTGTATTACTTCGGAAATTTTCAAAATAAGATAGTTTTCAATGCTAGCTTGTTATTTTTTGAAAAACTTTCATAGTCACCATCAAATACCAGTAATAGTGATGCTACATTATGCTTTATTTTGTAAATAAATTTTAAATTAAATTCCGTTTTTTCTATGTTCAAACCTGCTTCACAGAGGCTTTGTGAGAGAAAAATCTGAGGGTGCCATATATTGCGGGGGTATTTAGAACGTGCTCAAGATCCACAGTGTCCCCGACAGACTGCGTGGGTAAGCATGTTAATTACTCATCTCTAGTTTTACAACCTTTCTCTTATTCAGAACTGAAACTAGAGACTCAGTTCATCTTGGAAAGAACCAGGCAAGGAGCCAAAGAGGAAGGCCTCTGTGAAGAAAAGGCAACAGGGGCCCATGACCACCCAGCTTGCTCCCAAGAATCTCACCCCAGAAGGTAGGGACGCGGTTCTGAAAAACGCACAGATTACAAAGGGCGCACACCTCCTCCAAACTCTGGTCGGGCTCCATTGTCTGCCTTTTACTCCCTGTGTGATTATGTTCCTTCAACTTTTCGTGCCTCAGTTTCCTCATCTGTGACATGCTATTAATAAGGCATCGTGTTTACAATCTAGACGCATTTCACAGTTAAATGGCATATAGCGCAGAGCGTCCCCCGCACACAGTGAGCTGTCAATAACGAGTAGTTCTTATGATAATTATTAAATGCGACATGTAATGGGAACAAGAGAATTAACGATGTGAAGCACTTTGTAGACACCTCAAGGCATTCCACAAATTTCCCGTGGGGATTCGTCGCCGTGGTTTGGGCCCCTGTTTGGGGAAAGCACCGAGGGCAGGCGAACCTGGCGTAAGCCTGGGTAAGCTCGAGGCCCTCAGGCTCCTAACTAGGCGGAGTTGCTCGGGACTAACTTACCCCGACAGTGCCTCCCCCAAAGCCCAGGTGTTGTCTCCACGCATTCACAGCCCCCAAACCCTCGCCTTTGGGGCCCGCCTACAAGCCCTCGGCTCCAGCTGTGCCCGGAGCCAAAGGTCCCGCGAAGGAGCGGAAGAGAACCCCTCCCCCACCTCGGTTGCTCTGAAGCGTGTCAACACCCGGAAACTGTCTGGACCCACCCGGCTCGAGCCTCCCAGAGATTTCAACCCCCAGCCCCCGTCCCAGAGCAGCTGGCCTCCTGGCCTCTCACCCCGTCCCCACTCCTCGGCCAGCCAACCGCTTCCCCATCCCAAGACAAGCCCGGGGGTAGTGCACCAAGCCGGGAAGGAAACCTCGGGGAGCGGAACCGAGGTGTACAGTTAGTGCCAATAGTGCCAAATGGGTTGGGCGGGACCCGATGGGCTGGAGGGAAAGGGAGGAGGGGAAACTCACGCTGG